AGTGTGTTTGGTAGCACTTTTAAGTGTAACAAGGCATACTCAACTTCATATCTTAGTGCATTAGCGCTATGATACGTGGAGTTTTGTTCATTGGCGTCTTAGTAGCGTGCTACTATGATACGTTGGTGATATTTTTTATATAACAACAATAAAAACTTTGTTACCAAAATCGATAGGGGTCATGTGGGTGTGTTGTGAGGGCGCGCCATTCGTATGATAGTTGCATTGATGCTTACTGCTACTTGCGGTATTGCGTCTTGTGATGGATCTGCGGGTGTGCTGCGCCTGATTCGACGCATTCTTGTGGTTCTGGTCGATGGAGGTAAACAAATAACATCTTAGTGCCGGTGGTAAGCGGGTTTGTTGTAGCAATACGGCTTTCCCGTGGACATCGCACACCCATACCGTTTCTGGGCGGCGTAGTAGCGCATAGCGATGCGTCGTCTATATTTCGGATTGGGATGATGAGTGTGTTTGGTAGCACTTTTAAGTGTAACAGGCATACTCAACTTCATGTCTTAGTACATTAGCGCTATGATACGTGGAGTTTTGTTCATTGGCGTCTTGGTAGCGTGCTACTATGATACGTTGGTGATATTTTTTATATAACAACAATACAAACTTTGTTACCAAATTCGATAGGGATCATGTGGGTGTGTTGTGAGGGGGCGCCATCCGTATGATAGTTGCATTGATGCTTGCTACTTGCGGTATTGCGTCTTGTGACGGATCTGCGGGTGCGAACTACGCCTGATTCGACGCACTCTTGTGGTTTTGGTCGATGGAGGTATGCAGGTGGTGATGTCTGCTGGGATGTATGGGGACCTTGGGATGGTGTAAGCCCGACGATAGCCGTATTGATGCTTGTTGCGTTCTGCAGCGTTGCGTCTTTGCGATGGTTGTTTGGTGGGACGCTATTCTCAATGGCGCTCTCTGCGTCTTGGTTTGACTCACACCTGAGTAGCTTTGGCCAAGTCGGGTCCCTACATTACGGGGCTGCAGACTGTCTGCCCTCCACGATGTTTTATATTACAATCATAATATTATATCTCTGTAACTTTCCCACCTTTGAATGATTGAAGGCAACTTGTCGGTGTGTTAGACAAACATGATCGAAAATGCATTTACTCAACGTCAGTGACACAAACCCTTTCTGATGGCGATTTATTACTCTTATCTTATAACTGCCTTTTGGCTATATCTGCCGTTGTTCTGGGTGGTGGAGGATATATGTCGACCTCATGCGGGTGGTAGCTGGCGGGAGGATCTGAGGAGACTCTCAAGGCTGCGGCCGAAAGCCGCACAACGTGGGACCCCATTCCCTTGAGGTGAGCGGTAGACTCATGACACGCTCTGCGGCTAGTAGCCGTGCTGATCATGCAATCGGTGGTGATGCCATACACTTACATCACGTCTGCAGGAGCGGCGGTCTGGCAGGTGGTGGCGCTCACGGTGGGTTTACGGCCAGTGTGCCTATTTGCCTAAACCGTGTGACGTACATTCACTGTGGCTGGATTCGTTCGTATTCTGTATGGCGTTTACACGCATTGACATGCGCGACTTCGGTCGATGTTTGTGCTTACGCACTAACAAGGGGCCAAGCCTCTTTTCCTGGTTCGCCAGTTATTTTGCTGTGGACTACGGTCCAGTTCCCGAATTAGCGTTATCTTCGGGGGGAGTGCATCAAAATGGTTGGCGCTCACCGTGCACGGCGTGTGTGGGGCCGTGTCCCCTACATTTTTTAAATAAATGTAGGAGAGCGAAGCCCTTGTATCGGGTATCTTGTATAAATATATTTTGAGCCTTTTCCGAGCGGAAAGTGATAAATAATAATAAACTAATAATGTAAACCTGGTACAAGTGGAATAGGGACGTTTTATGTTCTTAACCTTTCTCGAGCACTGTCTTCGTGAACGGGGTTCACTTAGCTTATGAGGCACTACCAACAGCTTTCAATTGCTCTAGTAAATATCATTCTTCCAAAAGACACCTAAAAGAACTAAGTTATAAACAAACACAACGTAAATAGGTCTGACACGCCAAAAATATTACAAACGGCCTATTATTAAACCTTTAGAAAGATCAAAACATATTTTATTAATCTTGGTCACAAATATATATATATATATATTATTTTTTTTTATATATATATATTTTAATTATTATGTAAAGGGGAATATTATACATTTAGTATTTAATATATTTATTATTATGAGAGAGGGAGGAAGCGTTACAACGTGTTCGTCCGCGATTCGCCGTACGTTGGCGTACCTTCCGACGAGGAGTTCCCGAGCGGTCTGGTAGGCGTCGTCCGACAATTTCAGATGGCCGACGATGCCCAGGGCCTCCCCCTACAGTGAGGCCAGGAGGTAAGCCATCTTCTGGCTTGGTGTCAAGTCCCTCCAGGCGTCCACTAGGCTATCAAACAGTCCCAAAAAAGTTAGCCATTCGGAGAGGACCCCGGAGAACCTTGGAAGGTCCAGAGTTGGGAGTCGTCCCAACAGCTCCGGCTGAGTAGGCTGCTTCCGAGGGGACTCGAGCAGGCCACTCAGCCTAGTTTCACGCGCGTCACTAGCATACTTGGACCCCGCTTCGATAACCTCGTAACTGAAGATGCCTCGTTTTTACGTACTTCCTGATATTTGCGCAAAGATTCTTGCTTTTGGAGCTTCATTTTCAAAGATTTCCTAGCTTGACTAGTGGCGATATCAATATTTCCTATGAACATTTTTTTTGATGTACGTTGATCTATTCTAAGCTGTGCTAATTTTTAGGTACTCTACGATCTTTAGGACAAATACAGATGCTCAAATCTTTATACGTGCATTTTTATTAGACATAGTGACAAACGAGCACACAGTCCTGATTTTAAGTGGTTGCTGTGGCCTATAAACATCTACATCTATCCTTGATTACGAATCAAAATGCAGATACGTTGTCACACGTGAGGACTAAGATGGAATGCCTCGTTTCCAGTAAAAAGGGTCTCCAGTTCTCTACACTCATCATACGAAACACAGCAGTATTAAGCTACTATTTGACGCTGGTATTCTGTGAGAGCGTGGTCCTTCCCCGGTCGAGCCGACCCATTCGTGCTACAACTATACTACTAGTATAACTGTAGCATGGCTCTACCACGTATAAACATTTTATATGCAGACGTAGCATGGGAAAATGTCGAGAAGAGCTTTGCTAACAAGCCGGAATTCTTCGATCCGTTTGTTTGATGGTAGGGAATTTTTTGCATTTTAAATGATATGACTTCAGCGTTTCTATCGCTGTGGTATGTGAAACGGTGGGTATTAATGCATTTTTCCAAATTTATTTAATTTTGTACGATACTACGCTTGCGATTTCTTGAAATAATGGCTCCTCTTTTGTGTTTTGGTCAAATTTTAGACGTCATCTTGGCCACTCATAAAACTTTATTATATCTTCATAAGATGGTAATATATTTTCTTTCAGATCACAAGTTTCACCAAAAAAGAGACATCAATTTTCGAGTGCGTCCCATAGTAACAACGACTTCAAAGGTAGTGTCAAGTCAATTCTCTCTTACTTCTTCAATACAGGTCAATTTTGGGACCTTTGTTGTTTCTAATATATATAAACGATATAAACAACATAGGTTTAAAGGTAAATATCACCTTGTACGCGGATGATACTTGCCTATTTTATTTCGGACACAGCATCAATTTAATCGTAGAGGAGGCCCAGAAAGACCTTAACCTCTTTCAAGAATGGTTCTCATGCAATTTGTTACTATTAATGTATCAAAAACTAACTATGTCATCTTTTCTGCTAAAAACAAAACGATACCAGACTTTTCGCCTCTCAGAATAAATGGTGCACATATAAATAAATCAAATAAGGAAAAATACCTAGGACTTATATTAGATAACAGGTTGACGTGGAAGCCACTTCAGAAAATAAATTCTAAATTGTCTTCTTTTTTTAGGAAGTTTGCGAAATATAGTAGGATGTCTCCCACTGAATGTTCGATATATTTTATATAATACATTTGTTAAACCATATATTGACTATTTAATCGAGGTATGGGGAACAGCACACAAAACAAATTTACGTAGACTGCAAACTACCCAAAACAAATTAATCAAGGTACTTTTTCATTATAAATATATGACATCATCTAATATTATATATAAAGAAACCAAATTATTAAATATATCACAAATATATCAATATAACACTTGCATATTAAATATTAATACGTAAAATACGTATTTATACGTATAATAAACGACATTCATTCGCAAATATTGTTTAAAAAAATATAGATTTTCACAATCGTAACCTTAGACGTGCCCATGATATATACATACAAAAAGTTAGAACAGAGTATGGTAAGAAAAATATAATGTTTGACGATGCAAAACTGTATAACGCTTTACCTTTATATAAAAACTTATTGAAATGCCATATTTTGGAATTTTAACAAAAAAAAAATACAAGCTAAAATTAAATCTAACTTAGTTTTAACGCACCCTTATTTCTGTTTCGGTTGCATTAATTGTTCCGTCATTACAAATTATGCGCGATGTTCAAACCTATGTTTACTGTTCTTTTAATTGTTTACGTTTTACCCACATCTATAGTTAATATTCTGTATGCTTGTAATGGATTCCTTTATTATTGTTTGTAAATTTTTTATTTATCGTAAGCGATTTGTAATCTTTTGAGAAATAAATAATATCTTAAAAAATATTTTAATGATTTCCAAGTAAATCTTAATTTCCAATTCTCTGTATAATTTATAATGTCGTATCGGATGTTGCCCTTAGAATTCAGCCCACGTTTTGATAAATATGTGTATTCAATCACATAATTATTACAACATTATATTTATTAAGTGTAACTTAAACAAAGATAAGATAGTATTAACTACTGAAAATCTCGTACTGCAACTAATAGCACCCTCATGTCTTATTAGCAAGTGTCTATCGGAGTTCACAAATAGTGTATCTATTGACAATAGTAATATGCAGAAAAGCAGTTTTGAATTTTTATTAGTTATTGCTTTAATTAAGTATTGTGATGGTACTGTATTTAATGTAGTAAATCAAAATGCAGCTAATTATCCATTTAATATGACGTTATATGAAGATGTATTAAATTCAGAACTCTGCCAAAGACAACTAACGTATATTACGACGAATAATACGCTATTATTACTGCGATGTAAGTATTTAAATACGATTAATTTTGTAGAAATAATAAACATTTACACTACAAAGACAATAAACGCTGCTAATTGATTTAAATATTTAATTTTAAAACGGTTGTTCGAACATCTATCGGATGGCGGATAATTTAAATAAATGCTCATTGTTGGCGTATAATGTATCTAAAGAATATTGGGAACTTACTGCTGTTTTTTTTGGTCACTCCGTGTGTGATAGGTTGGGTTTTGCTAGGAATATCTCTGGGAGCTAAAATGGTAGCGAGGATAAAAGCAAGAGAAATTGACATAACTCAGGGAAAAAAGACGGCCAATGAGCCGGCCATATAGCTTAGAAAACTGACAAACAACGGGAAAAAATGTTCTTGAGTGGCAGCCTCGTACAAAATAGCGAAGTGAACGTCGGTCCTACACTGGATAGAGTTTTAACTTGACAAAACACGAGGTGTTTCAGGATCGTAATTTGGAGAAATTAATGGGGAATATTCAGCAGTGGACTTGTGATGAGCTGCAGTGATAGTGTGATAGTGTGATATTTATTGATTCTGGTAAAAGGATCCTGATATATACAACATGGGTTATAATTGTGTCAAATAGTCGAAATACGAAGGAAGGAATGTTTTTTAAGCAATTAATTATTTTCAGTCTATGATGCCGGCGTACGAATACCAAGAAGTATACTTTTGGGGAATACTGTTGACTTAGGTAATTACCAACAATGTATTAACATTAATCAGGCACTTGAAGGCAGTGATATTCAAGGAAAATATTGTATGATAAAAGTGCCAACGAACCAGAGTTTACAAATTTCTAGTTTCTTATTATCGAAGTGGCTCAAGACAACTCCTTCACATTTACAAAACGATACATTTAGTAGGTTAGGTGCATACGATAAACTAGAAAATTATGTTAAGACAATGTTTGGCCTTCACGAATTTAAAACAAGGTAATGGATTAACATTTTTATTTATTATAATTTATTCTATTTATCTTGAATTGTCATACCGTAGTAACAGTAACATATATACCATACTTACCCATAAATACATAACGATAGGTAACTGCAAAAGACATGAAGATAAAGTCGCCTTACAGTTATTAGTTCTGTTTGGCAGACTTTGTTCCATAAAACTAGTTTCACTAATTTCAAATTTATTTAATTGAATAGATAGTATGTTTTTTATTTTTTATTTACTCTATAAAACAATCAAGGTAAACCAGTCCTCATTATTACTATTTATATGTTGCTGATACTAATCAATATAGTAAGGCAACCTATACAACCTGCTTCAAATATCTAACAATTCTATTATTTTTCTACAGAAAATAGACTTTCCAAAAGCTTTTGTAACATTTTCATGTTTTAAAATCTGAATCTCATTAGATTTTTATTTTTGTAGGTATGTACGTTTACATAATGATTTTATATATTTACGCGTGACAATATACATTTATATAAAACTAAATGTTATGGATTTTATCGCGTATATTAACTTGTTTTATACTCTCAACGTTTCGAGCACTACGGCATCCTTGGTCACAGGGTTAATCGTGGCTCAGTCACCCCGTGACCATGGATAATATTGGGAATTTAAAATAAGTTAATACACGCGATAAAATCCGTAAAAACAAGTTTTATTTTAACATTTACGTTTAGTTTGCTACTACTAGGTGCAGTCGATCGCCATTGGCTAAGTTTAGGAATATTAGATTTATTCATGACACTTCAATACTAGGTGTGAACAATTGCTTTCGGGTAAAACTAGATCTGGTAAAGTCTTCTGTATTCTGCAACTTTGTCAAAAGTATGAAAGCCGTTTCTCGGCTTGCCCATTCATGTTTGGTCATATAATACGAAGGCAACCATCTAATAATTTAAGAAATTATACACCTAAATTCAACCAACTACTAACGGGTGCACCTAGCTGTAGCCGGATAAACATAAGTGTAGCTGCACTTCGGCTTTTAGCCGCATAATACATAATAATCAGTTTTTTTCTTTAAAGGATTGGATCACTAAACCCCAATTTAAATTTAAATTTGGCTGTCTGTATACCTGCACCATGTACTACACGTGAAGCGTTATCTGTATTTTATTTTAACATTACCAGTATTCTTCAATTTGAGAATGATTTCTGTCGTCTTCCAGGAGATAAGCCATGGGTCCCTGCCGATTACGTTGCTATGTAAGATTGTCTTTGTTTTCGGTGTTATTATTATTAGAATGAAACATAGTTTCAAAAGTACAACTACGCAACTACTGAATCTACAGTAATGCTAACATAAATAAAATAAACACTCACGCCTGTTACCCAGAAGGGTAGGCAGAGACTACAGACTTCCATTGGGCACGATCCTGACACACCTCTCTCGCATCCTCTACATTCATATACCTACGCATACATGCTCATCGATTAAGGGTACTACTGATTTGGCCCGTTTAAAATATATATCGCCAATTTAGTCGACAAACTTTCGCCTAGGACGTCCCTTTCCAACTCTGCCATTCACTTCTGCAACATAAATTTTCTTTGTCACTCTTTCCTCATTCATTCTTTCCACATGACCAAACTACCGAAGCATTCCTTTCTTAATCCTGGTCACAATATCATCTTTCAACCCCACTCTTCTCTTATCACACAATTTCTCTCTTTGTCATTCAGATTCAACCCTAATATACTCCTGAATGACCACATTTTTACCGCGTTTATTCTACTCTGGTGCTTCTTCTGTTTCACCCAACTTTCACTACCATATGCTAAAGTAGGGACCAACACAGTATTGTGAATTTCCATACGTGCCTTTTTTGACACGTTCTGTTCCCATCCATGCTAAATACGCATCGCAAATATACAAACTCATCCACTTGCTCGATTAACTCCCCTTCTATTCTTATTTCACATATTGTTTTACTTTCTTCTCTTTCAAAAACCGTAACTTTCGTCTTACTTGCGTTCACTTTCATACCCCTTTCTTTTAATGATCTGTTCATTAATGTAACCATCATTTGCAACTCGGCCGCCGACGACGCAAAAATAACTTGATCATCCGCGTACAAAAGGCATTTGACAGTTAACTCACCCATTCTTAATCCGCATTCTTCAACTCTCAACTGTCCATAAATAGGTTGACCAGCCACGGGGAAGCCACACAGCCCTATCTGACACCTTTATGGATGCCAAACCGGTCCGAATAGATCCCGTTGATTATAAGACAAGCACTAGAGTCCCTATAAAGAGACTTTAATGCCTGTATCAACCCAGCGCTCAACCCAAATGAGTTCAGTGTTTGCCATAGCACATCTCACTCTGTCATAGGCATTTTCCAAGTCCATGAAAGCAAGAAAACCTTTTGGTATTTGGCCAAAAACTTCTAAGCAATCATGGGCATGGAAAAGACTTGATCTGTACATCCAAAAAACCCACCTTAAAATATTACTAAAACCTAAAAGAAAACAGAATCATTTATAAATAGATCATTTTAAGTCAAAATTATAAGGATTTTATTGAATTAGAAGGAAAAGAACTTTGAACGTGATAAAATGTAATAATCATAGTTATGTAGGTGGATGGTATGTAATGTATGTATTATTATACAAGTTCCGCATAAAAACTTGTGAGGTGCAAGACCTGACAATTTTTTTACTGGTCTCATTAAAATACTCTCGATAAAATTTTAAATTTTAATTTTTTTATGCTTCAGCATTATATTTTCAATTATTGGGTTACTAGTATTACTCAGTACAAGCTACGAACTTCTACATTCATTAATACTCAAAAAAGGTAAAAATGTTTTTAATTACTGTTACAAAGTTATATTTCACCTTATTTTCCCGTATAGTAATTTTATATTTACTGCCATATAAAATAATAGTCTGCATACATTCCACTTCTATATGCAGTCATTTATCATACATAGAAATACAATTTAAGAGTTACAGCCTATACAGATCCGACTGCTGGGCACAGGCCTCCTTTCATTTCTGAGAGGGAGAATTTAAGGCAAGGAAATGTTCGCCGCGCTGCCCCAATGCATGTTGGTGAACTTCACGTGCCTTCAAAATATTTTTATTTTTTCTTATTTCTCTGACATGTTTTCCTTTACCACCGAGCACCTGATAAATCAGCACTTCAAATTGCGTTTAACAATTTCATTATTGCCGGCGGAAATTGAACCGAGGTTTCTCACGTACTGTGAAATTCACAGCAAGCGCTTAGCACCTAAACTAATTAAAATTAAAAATTTAAATTTAAATTTAATTGAATTCTAATTTTTAGTTTATGGATACACAAAATTATAAACTGCGTATGTTCTACATCTATGTACAGGCTTCCTTTTATATATTAATTAAAATTATTTTTAAGGAGCAAAAAAGTTCCTTCTTTAGTATGATATTTGCGTTCTAAAGAGTTTTGGTTTCTTAGATATGCTCGTGGTAAATCGGCACAAAAAATCACAAGTAAAGATTTCAACGATATTGGCACTACGGGTCGAAATCGAGTTACCCGCATGCTACAATATGAAATTTATTAACGCAATATTAAAGTGAATATGTTCCTGTGCTACCTTTAAATGTTGCTTGAACAGACTATTTATAGTAAAATAATAAATACTCAACGATATGACGATATATTTTGCCTTATATAATTAAAAAAAATGCCAATTATTGTAGGTTCTAAGGAGATTAGGACAATTTATCGTTCATTTTCCGTATATACAAACACACGACGCCTTCTATTCCATAAATCTGGGCTGGATTCACTAGAGTGCATTGATGGAATTAGAGCGCTGGCAATGACTTGGGTAATTGCTGGTCATGCAATACTAATAGTATTTAACAGCATCAATCTTCGTGAAGCTATAAAGGTATGGTATTTCTATTTTTTGTAATGAATTTGTTTCATTATACTATTATTACAAACATAACTTACAATAGAATAAATATTATTCACGTACAATGATAGCTAATAAAACATTTCATTACGTAATATAGTAGACTCCTCTACTGGCTAGGAGTATTTGTCGTTGTTTTCTATATCTAAAGTATGCCCACTGGAAGTTCGGCGCTCCTGGCTATTTCTTAACGTTTGAATTTAGAATGTTATATTTTTAGCATATAAAAATCTCATATATTGTATGAGATTTTCATATGCTAAAAATATAACATAAATTTTAGCGCGAAGTCGCGTGTCGTTTTTATCACAATTTGAATCTCGTCGTCCGTATAAATAATGAATAAAAAGCGAAAATATTTTAGGGCGATATTTTTATATGAATTGTAATGTTTACTCTATCCGCAAGATTACATTACTTGTATTCAAAATGCTATTGGGAGGAAAGCACCTCATTTGGGCAACGAAAGGCATTGGTACTCAGTGTTTGATCGCATCACTGTTTCTTTCCATGATAAAATTTGTGAAGGTCGTCTCTCAACTGCGATCACTGAGGAAAATGTGGCTGCTATCAGGCAACTAATTGAAGAAAACCGGCGCATCACCTATGAGGAGATTCGATGACAGTAGTAGCATGAAAAAAATTAAAAAAAAAAACAATATTTAAAAGTAAGAAAATTTTGTTGCCGCTGAATCCCTCATAAACTCATTCCAGAATAAACGTGGGCTAGAGTGGTGTAAAAAATGTTGTTAAAGTATTTGAAAACGGACGTTAAAAAGCTGTGTACGACAGTTGTGACAGGAAATTAAACATGATATACAAGAAAGCAACAGTTTTCGGTATATGGATGTTCAAACGGCAACAAACAAATGAAATTGAGACAGGCTAGAAGCGTGGGCAAAAATTGATTGCGAATTTTTCATCCAAATGGGACCTGTGTGCACGATTCCACTTGATAAATAAAAGACAGATAATGTTGAGTGTTTATTTGCCTAGTATTTTTGGAAAAGTTTGAAGGAAACGACCAAGAAGCCGCATTCTGTTGCACCATGTCAATGCCTCGGTACATGCCGCGGACAAGTTAAAGTCATTTTCGGCTTCTGAAAAGGTTGAGTTAGCATCATACAATTTCTTCATTTTTTTCAAAAATCAATAATATAATGAGAGGTTTCACATATTATACTGAGTACGCACACAAAAAAGACCGTGATAGCTTTCAACCGGCGTGTAAAAAGTATGTCTCCAGACTATTAAATCATTATATTTCCAAAATTGGTTTGAACGAATGAAAAAGTGTTAAAAATTGTCGATTGTCTGTAACTATAAAATGAAAGGTGAAAATCTTAAAAGGGATTCCATTCTTAGAGATCTCGGGTTTCTTCATGATTCCAAATTGATATTTGACGTTCACTTAGGAAGCATTATAACCAAATCTACGAAAGCTCTTGGATTTTTGATGCGTAGCTCTAGGGACTTCACTAAAGCTAAAACTCTAAAGATCCTATATTGTTCTCTTGTAAGAAGTAATTTGGAGTACGCATCTCAAATTTGGAACCCCAGGTATGCAACATATATTACCCGACTTGAAAATATCCAAAGTAAGTTTATGCGTTACCTCTGTTATAGAACCAATGACTATCGCTATACCTCTGATAATTATATTAGTTGTTGTAAAAAACATCACCTTCTTCCTCTTGCAATGCGTCGTGAGATTGCTGACCTAACTTTTCTGTTAAAAATAGCTTGTAGTGCTATTGACTGTCCTGAGCTTTTATCTCAACTACATGTTAGCTGTCCTGCCAAACCTCTTAGACACAACAAAATTTTAAGTCTCCGGTTTGCATCTACAAATTATAGGAAAAATACATTTATATGGCGAGCGAGCAATAATTTCAATAAGCTAGCCAATGATAATAATGCATTTTTTGGTAGCTCTAAGTAAGATTTACTTTTGTATTTGTGTTTATTTTTCTGTTAAAAATAGCTTGTAGTGTTATTGACTGTCCGAAGTATGAGTTGATTGTCTTTTATATGTATAATATAAGTTTAGCCCTCATTTGACATAAATATGTTGTATTGGATAATTTCGAGTGTTAAATCGTGTTTATCATTATTGTAAATTCACCTTTGTATCTATTAGTGAGGATCTTTAATTGGCTTACTGTTGTTATTAGTACTATCTATCCTAATTATGATAGCTGTTGGTCTCCCAAATAAAATAAAATAAAATAAAATAAAATAAAAAATAAAAAATAAATAAAATTTACGAGTTACGCAAAATTTCATAGTGCTCTTCTTTTAGTCATACACCCTTCAAAGGTTTCCTGACCTTATCTGGATTGGTTACTCACGATAAATTTAAGACGAATTGGCCATGCCAAGGCCACGCGAAGGACATGTTCGTCGATTTACAAACGAATCGTATATTTTAGCGGTTTAGGTAATGAATACGTAGAGATAGATGTTGTTTGAGTTTCTGTGCTTTTCGTTCTGAGAAAAAGAATAATGAATACCTCAGTCCTCGCATGTCCTACTCACAAACAACTAAATAACTAATAAAAAGTACTAACGTAGAAGACGATCGCCCTTACTAGCAAAATTGGCCAACAGCAAGCCTTAGAAATAGATACTGAGGGATATGTTCGTTTTTTTTAGTTTTTTTTTATCTCTGGTTTTGTGCAAAGGGATATTTTTTTTGCCTGGCGTAATTCAGCATTTCGTATTGACACGAGGGTGATACTGAAAGTTCTTAGAAAATCAAAAACTGAACAAACTAGCATGTTTTGGTTTTATTATATTTTTTCAAATAGTGTGGTGCATCCGACGGAACCACAGAGAAAAGTACTCCCGTCCTAAGGGGTTTCTTCGACGGCATTTTTAAATGCAGCCAATACTTCCTCGGCGTTCATAAAACGTTTTAAATAAATAAAAATCGCAAGGTGTGAGGTCGGAGCTATAGGGCGGGTGATCCAGTAATTCCATGTTTGACGTCGCCAAGTAATCGATTGTTTGCATGGCGGTGTGCGACGAGGGGTTTTCGTGGTTAAGGAGGATCCGACTGCAAGGTCGTTTCTACCGAACTTGTTTCCAAGAAAAAGTGGAAAACTATTGTTAATGTACCACTCTGCGGTAACTGTTTTTCGATCCTATAAAAAACAATTGTTGCGTAATGACCCGTCCTTCCGAAGAACGAGGCCACCATCTTTTTTCCCACGCTTCGACCTCTCTTCACTTAAGTTGGCAACTTCTCGGAAGGAAACACACAGACAGCAGACTATCTTTTATTTCTTATCATGGTCATAACAATAAATGTAGATTTTGTAACCCGTACATATGTTGAATACAGTATTTGAGGCACCTCCTTAAAATCTTTGATCCATTTCACGACACCAATCAACATGACGGAGTTTTTGGGCCTCTGTCAAATTATGTTGTATCCACTGGGCACAAAGCTTCCTGACCGCTAAATGTTCATGCCTAAGCTTATACTAAGCCACTGGTGTTATTTTTTCGTAAGTTTCAAGTCTTAATTAATTTTTTTTAAAGTCGCAAGATGCTTTCTTCAGTCGTCGCCGTAGAAGGCCGTCCCTCACGTAGGTCAGCGTTGAGATTAGTGCGACCACGTTTAAACTCATTAAACCAGTTGTTAACAGTGGCACAAGATAGAGCTTCAACTTAACGTTCTTTTTGACTTAAATGACATAAAAAATTATTGTACGAAAATTTTCTCGGGTTAAATTCATGCTGACGTGACACAGGCATTTTTCAATTTGCTGCCAAATTGTAAACAAATGACAAATTAATAAAAAACATACACAATGAAAAGAAAAAGGCAAAGAGTTCCATTATCAAAACTTGAACTTATTTTTTTATTTTTGGTTCGGCGGTAGGGTGCTAATTTTAAATCCGGGTCGAATGATCAGAAAATGATCCAACAATGGTTCCTGCGTTCGAATTTGAAGACGGATTGTCACTAAAATGGTTAGTGTGACTATATTGTAGATCCTTATCCACAGATATGGAACCAGAAATGGTTGAGCTATAAGTTTCCAGGTTCGATTCTAGGAATATTGACCACAAAAATTTGTATGCGAGATTAACTATATGTGGACTGTATATGCGTGACTCCCTATAACCAAAGAAGAGATGGCTGATGTGACACGTGGCAGGCTTTGGGAAATGCACTTGCTATTAATCTAATCTTTTATATCTAGACGATGCCCTTACACCGGAAATAAATATCAGCTGTTGGTAATGAAGGGCACAGTAAAGAGAATAAACAAAAGAACAGCTCAATATGATTTATAGAGGAAAGCATTTACCGGGGTGGGTTTCTTACTGTTTCCTGGTCTGCTGGCTATCTGGCTTCAAGGGCAATGACTTTTGTGTTGCGACTGCGTTGCAAGAGAGCGGGCGGCGGCAGCGGACATCCTTTAATCCTTATCGGCCATCTTTGCTTCCATCGAGGCGGGGCACGTTTCTTATTGGCCGCAAAAATGACGCCACATTAGCTTCCTCCCCCCCTTTCAGTGCGTGTGAAAAAGGAATGCGGGTGGGATGGGGGAAGGCACCGTCCAGTTATTAACTAGCAGAACAAAAATGCGAGGGTACTCGTTTTTCGCGCAACCAATATATTTTACAAGTGGCCAGTTCTAAAAACTTTTAGTGTCGCCCTCCTAATAGCAGCAATTTAAAATAATAGCGATATTAACTTACTAGCTTATGTACGTGATACTTACACATTATAAGAGTAGGTACTTCCTATTTAATCCTATTTTTTGTAGCTTTTTATTTCTTGTTAAGGTTTATTTAGATTTATATTAGTACAAAACTGCTTGGAACTAATAATTTACTATTATTAATAATAGGATCTATAAAATATTTTTCTCATCTGTTTGGGCTGCATAATGTATAATATTTATGATTATTGTTTTGTTGCCATAGGTACTCAGCACCCACATTGCAGTTCAGCCTCCGATGCTAGATCTTTTTTATGTTTATGAACTTTCATTATTATTAATAGTACAACTAGATTCTAACAAGGCTGATTGAATAGTTAGTAAATATATTACGCCACCGCTTCACCTCACCACCTCAATAGGGAATAAAAATATCAATAAAAATTCATAAATAATAGATTTTTATCACCATTCGTCAAAGTATACGAAACTTCGGAAGAATAAAATTAATTAAAAGCGATAAAATTCAGAGTAAGCTACTCGTAGTTTCATTCAATGTGTAGTGTTCGCTTAAATACAAGAAAACATAACATTTAATTTTTTTTCAGTGGGCTCAATCCATTAAGGCTATATGGATAACGGCAGCTCCAATCACAGTCGATACATTTTTTATGTTGAGCGGCTTACTTGTGGTTTATACGACAGCTGGCAAACTTAATAATAGTATGTAAAATTAATCATATTTATCTAAATGTAAAAAAAGAATTGTTTGTTCGTATATTATGCACTGCCATGCCTTTCATCAGATTGCTATTAAACTTTTGCAAGAAAATTTGTTAACTGTGTAAAAATAAATGATATGTATTCATATATATTACTGGTCGAGCAAGTAGATGAGTTTGTATATTTGGGATGTGTATTCATCAGGGGTGGGAGATATGATAATGATATAGAACGACGCGTAAACGTAGAAAATAAAGTAAATGGGGCTCTCTATTGTGAAAAGTCAGAATGTGTCAAAAAAGCACGTATGGGAATTCTCAATGCTGTTTTAGTCCTTACTTTAACGTTTGGTTGTGAAAGTTGGGTGTGGCAGAAGAAGCACGAGAGTAGAATGAACGCAGTAAAAATGCGGTCGTTAAGGAGTTTGTAAGGGCTGAATCTGAGTGACAGGGTGAGATATTGTATGATAAAAAAGAGAGTGGTTTGCAACTCTGCTGTGATAATGAAAAGAAGGCTTCGGTGGTTTGGTCATGTAGAAAGAATGAATGAGGAAAGAGTCACAAAGCAAATTTATATTGGAGAAGTTAATGGAAGATTCGGAGAGGGACGTCCTTGATGAAAGTTTATCGACCAAATTGGCGATATATTGTAAATGGGCCAAAATAGTAGTACCCTTAACCGACAAGCATGTATGCGTAGGTATATGAATGCGGAAGAGGCGAGAGAGGTGTGTTAGGATCGTGTCAAATGGATGTCTATAGTTTCTGCCTAACCCTCTGAGTGATGGGCATAAATGTTTTCGTACTTAAGTATATATTATTATTAGGGATATTGCTATATTCAAGGGGCTTTTCTTGTTTTGATGGAATGTCTTCAACCGGTTGTATTTTACAATCTGCTTCTTTCACTTATTTTAAAACAATAAAGTATGCAAGTATTTGATCAAAAGCCAAAGAACCTTTTTGGCTGTGGAGTTTACATCCAGAATGAAAATATAATTTAATAAATCATTACAATAATAAAAATATTCAGTCTGATTTACTATCACATCACAAATCAATAGACTGTTAGAGACAAGCATTTAAAGATTGTATCATTTGTCTTTTTATTTATGTCATTGGTAAGAAAAATTTCCAGTTAATCTAAACGTAAGTAAATATGCTCTGTTCTCTTGACAACTAACATTTAATTCTATTACAGTGCAATTACTTCAAAATCTTCCACTATTCTATCTACATCGAGTTCTACGTATGTTTCCGATACTTGCTGCAATGATCCTTTATGAGGTATCTTTTCAGAATAGGGTATTTGATGGTCCATTATGGAATATTCAAGCGATGTCTATATTTGCTTGTAGAAAGTATTGGTGGTCTGCGTTATTACACATACAAAATTTTTATAATCCAACTAATATGGTGAGTGTGAAATTTTTTATTCTTGAGGCTGATTTTTCAACTATCAGATAAAAGTTAAAGGATAAACTGTACAAATAACATTGTTAAAATAAAGAAGTCCAATGGTTTTACTTTTATAATAAGTTAAGTCATAATTTAGTTGATTGTTAACTTTTATCTGATGATTGAAAAGATATAGTGGTGGTATAAAAGTATTCACTACCCCAAATCGTACCATTGGTATCGTAAGAAGCAACAGATGGAAACGACTCAGGAAATTGCAAGCAGCGTCTTGCTGATAACGTCCAGAATATCAAAGAACTGCAGTTGCTAACCCGCCTGCCTAACGTGGAAACTATGGCAAATACCATCCCAGTGGGGTCATCTATGGGGAGACCTATGTAAACAATGGACTTTTGAAGGGCTGTAACGCTGATGAATAATCATGATGGGTATGATGATTAAAAATTTAGGCGTTATATTAGTATAATATTATCTTCATGATTCAAGTTGGTGATACATTCGATATGGTTTCTCGAATTAAAACAAAATGAATATGATGTGTAACATCAATAGTTGTTTGAAATGGGGTATGAAATGTGTATCAAACTTTGCGAGTTCGAATTCGCTATTTACGTAATATGCTGTCATTATAACAGAAATATTTATGCGTTAACTTGGTAATACAGTATGCTACGAAAGCATGAAAAGGCGGGTATGATTAAAAGGTTGTAAAGAAATCTATTTCAGGTTTGATAGCGTTTCTTTGGCTCCTTATTTAAAGTCGGTTGGTAGTGGCTTTAGTCTTTAACAGCCACTTACTTTAAGATGGACTGTTAGGTCGTGCTCACTTTAATATTGTAAAATTTTCTATTTATTTATGATGGCCGTATGAAGAAGCTAAAGGTCGCTCAGCGTGCTATGTAGAAGTCTATTCCTGGCGTTACTCTACATGATGAAATCCATAGTTTAATTATCCGCAGTAGAACGATAGAAAGTGACAAGTCCAATGGATCAGTAATTTGAAGTAGCGATGGACCAAACATATAGTTCGAAGAACTGTGAAAACAACCAATGCGGAAGAAAGGTTCTCAAGTGGCAGCCTTTTGTGGTGCCAAAGACGAAGTGTAGAGCTTCATTGGCTTCTACGGCATTCTGAATGATATTAATGCGAGCTGCTTTAATGATTTGGTACTAATATGACAACTTTTAAAATTTTGCTCAATTTTTTTAAATAAAATACAAAAGAAGTAGTCTAATGATATTTTTATTTTAGTGCATTCCTTCTACGTGGTATCTGTCTGTTGACGTTCAATTACATCTTTTGTCACCAATATTTCTATTTTGGATTCTAAGTGGTAAAAAGAATATTGTTTGGATAGTGTTGACAATTGGACTATTGACATCGCTTGTTACCGCAACGATCTATAATTTTCTACAGGATTTCCAATCCGGGATCTTTATTCAAAAGTAAGTGTTTATTACCACACGAGTAAAGAAACCGGTATTGCCACCTTTTTACCAGACTTTTATTTACACATTTTTTATTAATTGAACTTGCTTTCGTGTCTCTGTTTGGGTTGAATATAGTAATTGATTTTTAAATAAATTTCCAATGAGTTAGATACTTAATATACGTGGTAGAGCCATGCTACAGTTATATTAGTAGTACAGTCGTAGCACGAATGGGTCGGCTCGACCGGGCAAAGACCACGCTCTCATAGAATACCAGTATAAAATAGTAGCTTAATGCTGCTGTGTTTCATAGGATAAGTGCGGAGAACCGGAGACCCTTTTTACTGGAAACGAGGTATTCCACATTAGTCCTAACTGGTGACAACGCATCTGCATTTTGATCCATAATCGAGGATATATGTCGATGTCTATGGGCCACAGCAACCACTTATCACCAGGTGGACTGTGTGCTCGTTTGTCACCCAATCCTATAAAAGATTTTTTTTAAACATAGCTTGTAGGATTGAAATGTAAGAATATCATAAAAATGTAGTATCTCAAAAGGAAAACACTTACAAGTTCCTTGTAACTATGACTTTCACTGAGGTGTTTGACTCCTGATATCATAGTTAACCCGGAGAACGAACATCTTTTAAATATTTATTTTTGGTCTGCTCTAAGCAGATTTAGATTAGTCTATTAAAGTTTTGCAGTAGTTTGCTTGGGATTTTATCTAATTGAATCTATAATTTTACTAATTAAAGGATCCCAAGCAGATGGGAATTTCCAGGAAAGAAGGGGTTCCCTTTAGAAACTATAATTTTTTTGAATAAAACTATTATTTACGGATTTTATTGCGTTTAATTACTTTAATTTATTTTTATTATTATCCCGACGTTTCGGGTGCTTTACAGCACCCATGGTCACGGGGGGGGACTGAGATGTTTGACGTCCCAATGTCATTGTTAGCCCGGCTACCTTCAGTTTTTGAATATTAATTTTTGGTCCGATTTACGCAAAACGAACTTACTTAGTATCGGTCTTCGGTATGCTTGGGTTTGGGTTTTTTATTATAGGATCCCAAGCAGATGGCCGCACCCAACCATCTTCTCTATTGAAATTAGGATGTTTTTTAATTTCAATAGCCTCACGTATCATCCTTAGGTAGGAATCGGTGTTCTTTTGCGAGGACTTGCGGTTTATCAAATCTGATGTAATAGTGGGGACGATCCTGAACATGTTCACAGACTGCAGACTTCCCGGAACGTCGGTGCTTCACGTCAGCTATATGTTCTTTCACGCGGGTTTTTATGTATCTTTTTGTTTGACCTATGTAAGAGAGACCACATTCACAATCTAACTTGTACACTCCTGCATCTTGTAGAGGGATATTACACTTGACGGATGGTAAAAATTGACTAATCTTCTCCGGCGGCTTGTAGTATGTTTTAATGGAAGCTCGCTTCAAGATGTAGCCAACCTTGTCTGTGACTCCTCTGACATATGGTAGTACAGCAGGCACACGCTCGACTGTGGCCGGCTTCACTCGGTCACTGTGACGTAGGCGCGGGATCCGAAGCTTGTTGTCTTGCAACACTTGCTTGACATGCTGAAGTTCGGCGGCCAGATGTTTTCTGTCACAGATCCCTCGTGCTCTCTGAAACAAAGATTTACCCACGGTAGCTAACTGTGAAGGATGATGGTGAGGTACACCATTTAAATATCGGTTGGTATGGGTCTTTTTTTCTATACACAGTGTGACCAATAGTGTTATCAGGATTTCGAATGACTAAAACATCTAGGAAAGCTAAAGAATTATTTGCCTCTAACTCCATTGTGAATTGTATTTTAGAGTTTATAGAGTTAAGGTGGTCTAAAAATGCAGTTACTTTGTCAGATGGTAAAATTGTGAAAGTGTCGTCTACGTACCGCTTGTAGAATCTTGGATTTACAGGAGCAGTAAGAAGGGCTTTCTCCTCGAAGTCCTCCATGTATATGTCGGTGACTATGGGAGATACAGGTGAGCCCATCGCCACACCGTCTACTTGCTTGTAGAACTCTTCCTTCCACAATAGATAGCCAGATGTGAGGCAATGTTTAAGTAATACTGCATATTCAGCAGGCATGTTGTTATCTTCTAGCTTCCTAGTCACAATTGAGATGCAGTCCTCAATAGGTAGGCATGTGAATAGTGACTGAACATCAAAACTGACCATAGTTTCATTGTCAGCGAGATGTAGGTCTTTTATCTCACTAACAAAATGGTATGAATCCTTTGTGTGTGCTCTGGTATGTCCTCTCTGTGGTGCCAGTATTTTTGCCAAGTGTTGTGCCAGCTTATAAGTTGGTGAATCGATCTGACTCACTATAAGACGTACTGGAGCGTTTGGTTTGTGTATCTTCGGCTTTCTTAATAATAAAAATAAATTAAATTCATTCTTAATAATAAAAATAAATTAAAGTAATTAAACGCAATAAAATCCGTAAATAATAGTTTTATTCAATGTGTAGTGTTCGCGTAAATTTAAGAAATCATTATATAATTTTTTTGTTTTAATATACTCACGTAACGTAAACGTAATTTCTTTCCAAGAGTTTGTGGTTTATCAAACCTGATGTATAAGCAAGGACTATTCTGAACATTTCCGCAGACGTAGTCTTCCTGGAGAATGATTAATTTCAGCTATTTGTTCTTTTACGCGGGCTTTGAATGGTGGTTTTTTTGTGCCAAATAAGAGAGACCACATTCACAATAAAACTTGATTGTGAACAAAATAATAAAAGTTGAATCGTATTTACACTTACCATGCTCGTAGGATTATATAAAAATTAAAAGCTTAATAAAAAATTGTAACTAGTCCACCACTAGTGGATTTTAAATAAAAAAGAATAGCATGATTATTACAAAATAAATAAATAAGTTATCTAAATTTTGCCTTGAGCTTATTGCAGGAGAAAAAACGAACTATTTTACCAAGTAATTGTTATTTCAAGCAACAAATGGAAAACATGTAATTTCCACGAGAAACCTTGTAATTTCGCGTTTTTTTTGTAATACTCTTCTTAATTATTAGAATCTGAAGTTAGTGTATGGTCCAACCGTACATTTCTGATCGCGTTAACATTTTACGTGAAGCAATCGCTATAGTTCGACAATTATGAAAATTGAGTAAGTAAACGTACACGTACAAGCCGATAGCACAGACTCGGCTCCACGCCGTGGTAGCGGCGTAAAATATACTACCCCATATTTTGCACCATGAGGAACCAAAGAAAAGAAATGGCCCCGAGTTCCCGGCGCCCCTTGAATGGGGCAGGGGTGCGAAGAATCTCCGGGAGAAAAACCGGCGACGAGGTTCGCCACCCGTCACGTTCTGTCTCCCAAAGAGGTGAAAAGTGGATTGCAGAGGCCCGTCTAGCTACGTTGAATGTATGTGGGGCAATGTGTAATGAATGATAAAATGGATGAAGTATGCGATATGATGCATGATAGAGGAATAGATGTATTATGTGTAAATGAGACGAAAAGGAAGGGGAAGGATGTCACTGCACATGGCATGTATACCGCATACTGGTTTGGTGTAGACGAGATCGAGCGGGCATGCCAGGGAGTAGGTATCATCCTTTCAGAAAGAATGGGCTATAATAATGGAATGTGTGAAAGAGTATGAATGTGTAAGCCCAAGACTGCTATGGATACGGATGAAAGTGGGCTTAAAGAAGTTGTTTGTGTTAGGGGTTTACTCCCCAGACATGTCTAAGCCCACTTATATCCGAGAGCAGTTTTGGGAAATGGTAAGGATGGTGTTAAGGAAGTGTAAGGGAAATGAAAATATTATTATGCTAGGAGATTTTAATGGAAGGGTTTGGGTGAGGAGGCTTGGTTATGAAAGGATATTGGGAAAGTTTGGTGATGAAAGTATAAATGAGAATAGTGAAAGTCTCCTCATCGTATGTATGGAAAAGAATCTTTTTGTGACGAACACTTGCTTTCGCCACAAGAGGATTCACATGTATACTTGGAAAAGAGGTGACGATAGAAGCATGATAGATTTCATAATTGTGGATGAAAGATTGAGGGGCGCAGTGGTAGATACAAGGGTTTACAGGGGTTCTAACGTAGGAACGGATCATTATTTGGTTCTATGCCGAATCAATGGTCTGTTCAGGCGTTGGCGCCATCGATCATCTGTGTCTACCACTGCGTTACAGCGTATTAGAACAGAAAGGTTACAAGATGAAGGTGAGAAAAACAAGTTCAAATGTAGACTGAAAAAAATATAAATGGTTTGGATGAATTATGTATGAAGGAGTTGACTTGGAATGTATGGCAAAATGTAAAGAAAGGTTTAGTGGATGCAGCTACTGAAGTATGTGGTGTTAGTAAGAGGAAAGAATGAAAGGAAAAATAATACGCTATGGTGGGATGGTGAGATACGTATGGAAGTTGAAGCAAAGAAGAGAGCATGGCTAGATTTACTAGCAACAAAGGCTGGTAATTCTAGCGGTACGAATGATGATATTGAAAGAAAAAAGGCACTCTTTAGACATATAAATAAAAGAGTAAAAGAAGTAATTGAACGAAAAAAGCAAGAAAGAACGGATAAGAATGATAGAAGAATATCGGATAACTTCCAGGGAAATATCAAAATGTTCTGGAAACTTGTAAGAACTGCCAGGGGACATTCAAAACAGCCTATGATGAATGCTATAAGAGACGAGAATGGCTATATTCTGAATGATGAAGTTTTGAGTTCAAAGAGACGGAAGGAATATTTTGAAAGCGTGTTTACGAGTGAGGAGACAACGTGTGTACTAAGTGAAGTAGAAACTCCGAAAAAAGAGGAATGAGGTAGCGAGATAAGTGTAGATAAAATAATGAAAGCAATGAAAAGCATGAACGCAGGTAAGGCTGCCAGATATGATAGAGTTTCACTCGAATTGCTAAGGGCTGGAGAGGAAGTGGTGGCAAGCCTGCTGCACACCTTGTTTAATTTATGCTGGGAACTGAAGCGGGTGCCGGTAGACTGGTGCAAAGCCGTGATAGTCCCAGTATATAAAGGAAAAGTGTCGCAACAGGACTGTAAAAACTACCGTGGCATCCGCCTTCTTAGCATTGTGGGAAAACTGTATGCTAAGGTACTGATTCAAAGGGTCATGAAAGAAAATGATGGAAAAATTTGGGATGTGCAAGCGGGAATTAGAAAGGGAATGGGATGTACAGATCAAGTCTTTTCCATGCGCATGATCGCGGAGAAGTTTTTGGCCAAAAACCAAAAGGTTTTTTGTGCGTTTATGGACTTAGAAAGAGCCTATGACAGAGTGGATAGGGATATGCTATGGCAAACACAGAACTCATTTGAGTTGAGCGCTGGCTTGATACAGGCATTGGAGTCTCTTTATAGGGACTCTAGCGCTTGTGTTAGGATCAACGGGGATTACTCGGACTGGTTTGACGTCCATAAAGGTGTCAGACAGGGCTGTGTGGCTTCCCCGTGGCTGTTCAACCTATTTATGGACGTTGTTGAAGTTGAAGAATGCGGATTAAGAATGGGTGAGTTAACCATCAAATGCCTTTTGTACGCCGATGATCAAGTTATTCTTGCGTCGTCCGTTTGGTGGCCGAGTTGCAAATGATGGTTACATTAATGAACAGATCATTAAAAGAAAGGGGTATGAAAGTAAACGCAAGTAAGACGAAGGTTATGGTTTTTGAAAGAGAAGAAAGTAAAACGATTTGTGAAATAAGAATAGAAGGGGAGTTGATCGAGCAAGTAGATGAGTTTGTATATTTTGGGCTGCGTATTTAGCAGGGATGGGAGATATGATAAGGATATAGAACGACGAGTGCATGCGGGAAATAGAGTAAATGGGGCCCTGCACTCTATTGTGAAGAGTCAAAATGTGTCGAAAAAGGCACGTATGGCAATTCACAATGGCGTTGGTCCCTACTTTAACGTATGGTAGTGAAAGTTGGGTGTGGCAGAAGAAGCACGAATGTGTGGCAGAAGTAGAATGAACGCAGTAGAAATGCGGTCGTTAAGGAGTATGTTAGGGCTGAATCTGAATGACAGGGTAAGAAATTGTGTAATAAGAGAAGAGTGTGGTTTGCAAGATGATGTTGTGACCAGGATTAAGAAAGGAATACTTCAGTGGTTTGGTCATGTGGAAAGAATGAATGAGGAAAGTGTGACAAAGAGAATTTATGGTGCAGAAGTGAATGGCAGAGTCCGAAAGGGACGTCCTAGGCGAAAATTTATCGACCAAATTGGCGATTTATTGAAAACGGGCCAAATTAGGAGTACCCTTAACCGACGAGCATGTATGCGTAGGTGTATGGATGTGAAGAAGGAGAGAGAGGTGTGTCAGGATCGTGCCAAATGGATGTCTGTAGTCTCTGCCTACCCCTCTGGGTAACAGGCGTGAGTGTTTATGTATGTTTATGAGTAAGTAATCACCGTAACCGCGACGGACGCGAACTCATTAACAAAACATTTTTTAACACATTTTAATGTCATAATTTTTACATGTTTATTAAACTATTTTTAAATAAAATTTAAATTATTATTAAACATATGTACAATACCCGAAGATTTTTTGGTCTTTCGAGCGAAAAATAAACATGTTTGGGTCCTTCGACAAGTGTATTGGACCCCCGTGTGTTTCAAAGACAGTGACGTGACAGTGAGGAATAGCAAATATTTTAAGCTAAAACATAACAGTAGTCATCTTGCTCAACATTCACAACATTTGGCTCGGCCAAGCAGCAGCTTGTCTAGGTCAAGAAGCAACGTGTCGCAAGTTGTTCAGCAGCAGCAGCAGCATCAGCTGTAAGCGGCAGTGTCAAAGTAAGATCTTTATTTTTTTAACAGTTCCGCATTTAATATCAACATGGAAAATGTACACGCTAATCAGGTCGAGATTGTAGGAGCTATTGATAAAATTGGTGTCATTATTAAAAAAGGTGGGTCAGAGTGTAAAAAAATAAATCGTTTTAAAAGAAAACTTAAGGTTTTGGAATGGTACTGGCCAGATTATCAGAACAATCGCAGCCAACTAGTAAAAAGTCGTACACATCCCTACTTTACAAACTCAAAGCATATAGCTCGGTAAAGAAATCATAAATCTGCAGTATCAGGATTTCCTGATTATCCAGAAATATGCAGCCCTCGTAGGTAAAAAAAACTCAACGAGTGGAAAAGCGTGGATTAAATGAGCCATCTTCTGGAAATTAGGCGGAACCACAAAAGGCCCTCCGACCCCAGGAACATCGAGGCAACCAGTAATTTGGATGATATGTTGCGCAAGCAATATATTAATTTTAAGTCATTTAAAAGGTCTGTTAGATGCATAAACATAGATAAAAACATAGGGAAAAATGAAAAATCAAAGATTCTTTAAAAGCATTATAGTCGCGATGGTCAGCTATAGATTCGCTAGTGCGCGAAATTGTAATGTAGACCGTCAACATATGGGCCATAGTGATGTATCGTGTGAAGTTGAGAAATAAAACAAAGCGTACTCTCACATACCACATAGATATTTTAATGTTTAATTATAAAATTACATGTTCAATCATAAATTAAATATTGTCGTCATTTTCACTCTTCACTTTCATCCGAATGGTCAGAGGCACGCTGAACCTAAACGTTAAGTTGGAGAGGTCTCGTCTAATGAAGTCAATGCTCCGTCTCCCTCGAACTCTTATCCAGAATCCCGAAACCTTTCAGCTCGAGTTACGGAACCACTTTCAGTGCCTAGAAGATTGCAATAACGTGGACGAAATGAATGATAAGCTCGTGGAAACTGTCCATGCGGTCGGGGCTAAGTTCTGCAAGACCCGTCACAGAAGAACACAAAAACTCTCCGATCACACTCTTAATCTCATGGCTGTTAGACCGGAGATGAGGCTGCAATCGTCAACAGATTTGACAGCATACAGGCAACTGAACAGACAGATCTCCAAATGCATGCGGCGAGACTTATGCAACTTTAATACTGCTCGTATTAAAGAAGCGATCGAGCGGAACCAGGGCTCCAAAGTCTTTGCCAGAGATCTGTCTGCCAGAAAGAGCCAACTGTCAAAGCTGAAGACTGAGTGTGGCAGTATCGTTTCCGATACACTTGAGATTTTGAGTGAGATTGAGAGGTTCTATGGGCAGCTGTACACATCATCGTTGGAGCTACATGTAAGTGTGAGTAACGATCCAAGAGCAAGTCTTATCCGACACTATTCCGATGATATCCATTTCTTCATTCTAACCGCATGCATTTGGAGATCTGTCTGTTCAGTTGCCTGTATGCTGTAAAATCTGTTGACGATTGCAGCCTCATCTCCCGTCTAACAGCCATGAGTGTGATCGGAGAGCTTTTGTGTTCTTCTGCGGCCGGTCTTGCAGAGCTTAGCTCCGACCGTATGGACAGTTTCCACGAGCTTGTCATTCACATCGTCCACCACATTGCAATCTTCTAGGCACTGAAAGCGGTTACGTAACTCGAGCTGAAAGGTTTCGGGATTCTGGTTTAGAGCACGAGGGGGACGGAGCGTTGACTTCATTAGACGAGACCTCTCCAACTTAACGTTTAGGTTCAGTGTGCCTCTAACCATTCGGTGATCGCTGCCAGTTTCCACCCTTGCGATCACTGAGACATCACTGAACAGTTGGGGTCTGGTCGTCATAATGAAGTCAATCTCATTTTTTGTTGAACCGTCGGGGCTCGACCAGGTCCACTTCCTGTGGGGCTGCTCCTGGAAGAAAGAGTTCATCATAAAGTGTCCCTCTTTCTCCATGAAGTCGGCCAGCTGCTGGCCCCTACGATTCCGTTGCCCTACTCCAAATTTCCCTAACTTCAGCTCACCGCTTTATCTTGTGCCTAGTTTTGCGTTAAAGTCTCCCATCAATACCGTGTAGTGGGTTTTGGCGGAATGCATGGCTCTAGAAATATCCTCATACATTTCCTCCACTTCCACATGGTAGAGGCTGTATTACCTTCAGCGAATACCGTTTGGTGATTCTGAGTATCAGGTACGCGACCCTCGTCGACACACTCCCAATCTTAACAACGTTGTTGACGAGAGACTTGTGGACGATAAATCCGACACCTCCTTGGGACAGATGGTCGCCCTCCCGTTGATAGAACAAGTTGCCGGACTCGAGGATTACCGTGTCCTCTCCCTCTCTTCGGACCTCGGATAACCCAATAACATGCCAGCGCAACGTGTCTACCTCTTCTTCCAACTCCGGTATCTTCTCGTCAGTCCTCAGGGTGCGTGCGTTATATGTTGCCAGGTCAAGTCGTCGTAGGTGGCAACCGAACCTCCACCGGAGGTTCTTAGCACCCCCTATTTTTACATAAATTTTTAAATTATTATGAAACATACGTCCATTACCCGAACAGTTAATCGGGGTTAACATCAGGACATCAAACACTTTAGTACCACGTAACTATGGTTGTTGCTTTCTTTAGTGTTTTTACATTACAATCTTGAAATTTCTGAAGTAATTTAGACATTTTTGTTACGGGGGAACTATATTCAATATACCTTGAATATGATTTCAGTTATTACCTAATGACTCTGTGATTATCTGATGAACAATACTACCAAAAAATTAATAAACAAACAAAATAATTTATCTTTGTAGCCCTCTTGAATTACGAAGATATTATGTTTACTATTACGTAAACACATTAACTCGTGCCTCACCATTCTTCGTCGGGATGGCTTATGGTTATATACTGCATTTGTGGAAAGGAAAACCTCTAGAAATATCTAAGGTGAGACTTCTTACACCTGAAGACAATTTAAAAGTAATAATTGTTCGCGAAAGTACTCTAAAATTTTTATAATTTGCAGGAGTACGATTATATAATACTAGAGTATATTTTTGATATGAAGATCTTGTTTTCGATTTGGAAATAAAAGAAAATAATATTTAAAGTTGAGTTATAGTCTATACACTTTTCACAGCTGGGCACAGACGTCCTCTTATTTCTTGAGGGAGTTTTAGAGCAAGAGAAGCCGCGTAGCTCTAATGCGTGCTACCGGACTTCAGACCTTTTTGAATTAAGTTTTTGAATTTCTCGTTTCTTCAAGAAGGTTTTATGAATCGGCATGCACGTCGTAATTTAGAATTTAAAGTTGCAATTAACAATTTCAATAGTGCCAGTGGAGCTCGATCCCGGGTTATTCGCATACTGTGAAGTTACAACAGACGCTTAGCCCCTGAGCTACCGCGATAATATAAAGAAACGTGGAAGAAAATAAATATTAGTATAATACAGAAACAAGTTCCAAATTAAGTTCCTACTTATATACACACCGTAAGAGTGGGTAGGGAGTGATGGAATTGGGTCAAATCAAGGGGAATAGTGCCAAAATTTTGATGCTTTAAGCATTACAAACAAATTTAAATGTGTTTAATAAAAAAGTTCAAAATAAAGAGAATGTATGAATTGTTATAAGTACGCACAGACAAGTTTTTTTTTTTGTTTTTTTACGTGGTAGAGCCATATCGCAGCTTTATTATGGTTGCAGCACGAATGGATTGGTTCAACCGGGGAAGGACCACGCTCTCACAGAATACCAGCGTCAAATAGCAGCTCAATCCTGTTGTGTTTCGTGTGGTGAGTGTAGAGAACCGGAGACCCTTTTTACCGGAAACGAGTTATTTCATCTTAGTCCTCGGGGGTGGTAACGGATTTCCATTTTAAATCTTAATCATGGATAGATTTGGGTGTCTATGCCACAGCATCCAGTTATTATCTAGTGAACTATGTGCTCGTTGGACACCCTTATTCTATAAAAAATGTTAATTAATTTACCACTTTTATAGGAGAATATATTATAAAAATAGTCTACGAAATAACCGTAATATTATAATTAAATTTTTCAGTTTCTAACATTAGCTGTATGGAGCTGCATGTTACTAATCCTAGCAGGCGTGATGTACTGCGTCCGCATAAACCTCGATGTAAATTGGGATAATCAATTAGCGGATAACATTCTTAATTCCTTTATGAGACCAGCTTGGGCTTTCGGCCTTGGATGGTTGATCTTTGCATGTGTTAAAGGATATGGAGGTACTGATTAAACGTTGTTTTTATGTAAGACACTTATACGTATTATATAATGTTACAGGGCACGCAAAAATTTTTGGAATATCATACTGGTCAGTAAAAAATTATTTAAAGAACACAATAGTACAACGAATGCAATAGCAATTTAAAAACTGCCTGTGCAATTTCGAAACCATATTTTTATGAGCTAATTTGAAAGATCGTATTTCATTCAAAAATTGATCTGTATCAGAAACATTTCTGCACGATGTTTTTTTAACAATTTAAAATGTTGCCTAAAACCGGATGAATTGGTTGAAACATTTGTGGATAAATGATTGTGGATAATCCATTTATTGCTTCCATAACAAATTGGAAACGTACTAACAATAAATATTTAATTTGAAGAGAATAGGTGAATTACGTATAAAGAGATCGAGTATCTTTATTTCTTTCTTTCTTCTATTACCAAATCTTTACCAGAAGTGTTTATTGCTGTGAGCAACTAGCGACCGAATCCGGGGCTACTAATTCTCCATGACAACGCCTCCGCTCACTCAGCGCTCAAAACGAGAGACTCACGTTACACTTTTGGGTTACTCTCCTTACAGCCCTAATTTGGCACAAAGCGCATTCTTTATTTATTCTCTATAATTTAAAAAAACTGAAAGGGATATATTTTCATAGTCGGAAGATGCACTAGCATCGTTCGAGCAGACTCTAAAAGAGTTAACTGAGTACGACTAGAAAAAGTGTTACAATAGTTGGTTTGAACGTGAGGTTAAATTTGTGTAGGTGCTGGTATAGCGTTTCAAAGAAAATATTTAATGATAAAAATGTTAAAAATAAAACTTTTTAACTTAGTTTCGCAAAAATTTTTAAGTAGCTCGACTTTAACATGCTACTAATAATTTATTTAACAAGTATGACTTTAATGATTTCCGATATAACTTCGGGTATTTAAAAAGTTAAATATACGCGATAAAATCCGTAAAAACTAGTATTATTTAAAAGTATGACTTTGTCAGTTTTTGTATATGGTTATCGCTAAATAAAAAAATCTACTGTAAGTTGTGTGTGGTGGAGTAAGACCATCCATTAGCATTCCGTGAGTGTCGTAAGAGGAGACAGAGGAAAACAAATCAGGTAATGGGCAGCAGCATCTTCCTAATAAGGACTAAAAATAAAAGCTGCGGTTACCAACCCGCTTGACAAGCATGGAAACTATGGCGAATACCATGTGAGCCAAATGAACGAATGACTCCGATACTTTTCAGTCCAACTAGTTTGAACCATTTCCCATGTGAAGGCCATGAGTTTCGAGGATATAAATTGACCCTTTAAATAGTTAAGAGTGAACGAGATTCTTTATTTTAACGCTTTGAACTATGTTTAATTTTTAGGTCCTATCAATTGGTTCTTATGTTTCAATATGTGGAGGTTACCAGCACGTTTATCTTATGCCATGTATATAATACATTTTCCAATTATTATGACTGTTTACGGTTCAACAAACGTTCGAACATTATTTTCTGTACAAAATTTAGTAAGTATTAATTAAATAAGGAAGCAATTCGATTATATTCAATGATAAATAATATTTACTCAAAATTTAATCAACTCCAATAGCATTGTTTATTTTCAGATATTGCAGATAGCTGCCTTTCTATTGATAACAGTTATGATAGCTTTCGTGGTCACTGTAACAATTGATGCCCCGTTTGCAACTTTAATTAAACTTCTTTTAAGTAAAGGTATGAATCGATTTTTCTTCTACAAATAATGTAAAATACCGTGGCCGAAATGAGTTGCAGAAATATAGAATTTCAATCCATGTGAAATATACAAGCAAAATTAAGCTTTATTGTTCCTTCTTGATAAGATATAAATATTATATAACAAAATTGATTCACAGTGACACATTCAGTGAGCAAGAAAGGAACTAAATTACGTCATGAATTATTCCCACCGAATATCACTGGTCGGGCTAAATACTATTTAGTCATTGATACTTGCGAATATACATTTGTATACCCTCTAACACGAAAGGTGCACGTGGCTAAGGACCTTGCTTTGTGGCATTCCTTGGGGGAGTAGTATACTCAGTAATGAGCTTGTGATAGGATGTAGTGGTAGTAATAGTGATAATAAGTTGGGTGTAACGGAATTAAGCAAAATTTCTGGACAAAGTTACCATCACGATCAAATAACTTTTTGCATGATAGACTATTTCAAATCTTTATCGTACTGCAACCAATAACTGGATTTCTTTATGATGTTACTAGTAGGATCGTCGGATTTGTAAGTATAAATATAGAAGCTTGTGATAACAAGGGGTTGTGACATTTACTTGGGTAGGTATTCAATAAAAATAACTGCCTTGTAATACCAAAACACTAATACCATCACATTTCCCGCTGACCTTTGCAACTTTGCAAAAGTCGGCGGTCGGTTTGTGTCGGGAATAGCAATAAATCCGAGTTTCATTAGTGGTCATAAATCTTCTTAAAAAGTTGTATTTGATCAAAACAACGCCAGATTCTTCCTTGAGACTTCAACCCGGTTGAGTTTTTGTTGGGTGGTCAAAAACGCGGCACCCATCTTGCTGACACATTTTTCATTCCTAGTTTATAGGTTAAAATATTAAACACTCGCTTAGTGCCACTTTATTCACGCACTTTAAATCTATGGTCTTTTAAAACTATTTAGAGGATTTTGTCGATGATTTCTGACGTGATGAACGTCGATGCCCTTTCGCTCCTCGGGTGTCTTCGACGCTTTCTCTGCCTTGTTTGAACAAAGCTGCCCAGTTTTTTATTGTGAAATACGAATGCAAAAATTAGCCTAATATGTTATTCACGTTCAGGAAATATTTATGCTTATTTCAATTTTTAGCATTTCCAGGAGAAAAGCAGAAAAATAATTACGCAATCCATCAAAATGGCCCTTGACATACGATTAAATAAAGAAACCAATGAGTATGTATTTGTATACATACTACCTTCAAATCTCAGTTAGACCAAAAACTTTTAAAATTGCCATTAACATTTAAACAATTAAAAAATTAGTACAATAGGTGCAAAACAATTGTTTTCATGACATAGAATATTAAATTTACGAGAGATATTATGTTATATGGTGTAGGGATTTTTAATATAAAAATACTAGTAATTCTATTAACGTAACTATACCCACTAACCACTAACCACTCCAGGTAAGCTTAAAATGCTAGTGTTAGGTGTGTTTCACGACTGTAGTCGAATGGTGGATACGAACGCACAACCTTCTGTGTTTGTTGTCCGCACCTTATCATTATTCAAATTATAATTGCAATAAAGTTTATTTGTTAGGGCTAAGTGCAGTTATACCTAGGTTTAGGTGGTTACAACAAGGTGCAGCTTATTGTGGTTGATTAAGCTTAGGTGTATTCAAATCGTCTGAGTAATTCATAAATAGTAGTCTTGCATCAGCAGCAGCAAATTAACCTGCTTTAAATTATATAGCTTGATATATGTTTCTATTTTTTAACAAATTTAACAGAAGTCATATTTATTAACCTACTGTCACTGTTGTTACTTGAATAATGCTTTCGTATTTTTGACCATGTTAATTGAAGTCATAGTAATTTTAATTAATTATTATTCGGGCTTCATCAAGCAACAAGAAAGAAATCAGTCACACTTAGTTTTAGCCACGAATAATTCAATACAACTAAGTTTAAGCAACTGAAATCGAATGCACATTGTACACATTGTATCGACTGTACAAGCAAGCTCGTGTAAATTTGAAATTAAATCATTGGGTAAACTGCCAAAGTCACAGTGACAATATTAGCTGCCTAATCAAAAGCCAATAAATTCGCAACTTCGTAACTTGCTCTGTGATTGAATCCAGAACTGACAGTCTAGTATACAATTAGAGAAAGGCTAAAATACTGGAATTAACGTACATCGTACGATAATGCCTCGTGAAAATGACATTCATGAAGTATTTAAAGTCTTTGACGGGATTTATAGATATTCTAAAATGTATCTTGAGTCACGATGTTTGTCAAATTGCTTATGCTATATTCACAGAAAAAATATCTTGTCAGAAAACTCCTGTATCAGAAATAAGTAAACATGTACAACAAAGTGATATGAAAGACCAAAATGAAATGAATCAAGAAGAAAATGACATATCGAAGAAACTCTAAAGCTCTCAAAGGGACTTGGCCAAGATCCTAAGGAGGAAAAATAAGCAATGAGGACTTTTTAGTTCAGCTTTAATTAGGGGAATCTTATTTTTTTTAAATATAGTTTAGTAGAGTAATAAATGAAATAATTCCAAAAGTGAAACTTTACTCTTTAAATGAATTTGTAAATATGCAGCAATACATTATTTTTTTAGTTTATTTTTAAATAAAGTAAATATCAATGTAGAAATCTTATTAAAATAATTTAATATACATATTTTAAGAAAAATCTATTTTAAACTACTAATAAATGTTTATTACCTTAAAATTTACGAATATTCATTTTTGAACTTACTTGAATACATTTAAAACGTCGAGCTTGCATGCATATGAAGACAACATTTGGGGGTATTCCTAGTCTTACCAATAGTTTTATTACTAATGGGAAATTTTCTTCCCCATAGTCTTACCATATAATTTTATTAGTAAAACTACTGGGAATTTTCTTACTAAGTGGACTCAACTGGTAAGACCGATAGGGTAGAAAATACTCAGTAGTACAGTACCATATTTGCATCAGTACCTAAAAACTTTGTTTTCATCATAATGCATTTCATGTTAACGTTTTATGGTCTAATTCGAGTGGTTTGTTTTTTCCAAATAGTAGGAAAAGTACTAGGCAAGCAAAAACGTAACGTAGATTCGCAGTAGTACTACCAATAAGACAATTGGAAGGGAAATTGCCATTAGTGTTACCAGTAAGATCATTGGGAAGAAAATCCCCAGGAGTCTTACTAGTAAGACCACTTGGTAAGACTACTGGCAATAGCCCAGCATATGATTTAGATATTAGTCGTAAGTATTGCTTAATCTCCATTGGAACATAATATGTTTAAGAATAGTATGTAAGTCGATGAACTTATTTTATAAATTTTGTGCTCTCCAGAAAGGATGTGGAATAAATAATTTTTTTATTGTATTTACTTCAAATATAAAGAGACTTATTAAAAATATATGTAATATTTATATTTGTCAAAAATGGCTATTTGCTGTCTTATTAAAACGTTTTAGTACGTTGTAATTTATATAAGTTATACATTTTCCGACTGATTTGGAATTGAGGCATGTGCAATTTCTCACAAAATAAAGTAAGTATACTAATTTTATTTTTTTAAATAAATGATGTTTTTTTGCTGCATAATATTAATTTAATCAACTAATTATTTATCACATTAACAATGACTTTACTAACGAACAGACAAAATGGTAAGCCTTAACTTTATTGATTTTAGTATATTTTTAAAATATTTCATCATCCTTCTGTCAACAGATGAGAGGAACATGGCCAGACATAAAAATGACGATGAATTTTCAAAAAGTATAGTAATCCAAATAGAGAAAAAAATTATGTTTCTTATTCATTAGTACGAAAAGTCTACTACTGGACATTTTATATTTAGGTAGGATTGCCATAATCGTTACGATTGGCTGGCAGATGGGCGATCGCAGATCTATAGACCTCTCGCACCTTTGATGCTGCTCTCCGTTGCGGGTCTGGTATTTTACGTCAGCCGTAAGCTAGATCTTTAATATTTATGCCATTTCTACTTCACTTTACTATTTCAATTTTTACCTCACCAAATATGGTAAATCCATGTAGTGATGGTGTAAGAATATTCATTACCCCATATTGTCCCGTGGGTGTCTTAAGAGGCGACAAAGGAAATCTGAAACGGGAGATGGGTAACAGCTTCTTCTTCATAACAATTCACTATAATAAAAAACTGAGGACGCCAACCCACCTACCAAGCGTGGCAACTATAGATGGAACTATGGATGGATGGAAGAACCCTTTCTATGGGGGAGGCCTATGTTCAGCAGTGGACTTTTATAGCCCGTAATGCATTATGAAATAGACTGTGTTATATAAACTTCTTAGGGAGGATTTACCATAATATCCATGATTGGCATTACAGTGATCTTTGAGTTTTTTTGAGTTTGAGTACTTAGGTCCTCCAGCGATTCTGCTATAAGGACTATATTGTTGGCAAATCGAATGTGACTGACGTACTCGCCATGAATATTGATACCGTAAATTTTCCAGTACAGTACATTAAAAACGTCTTCCAATGCAGTTCACCGCTGCATTTGATAACGTTTCTGGGATATAACGTCTAGTGTCTATCAGTCCAGCGACGTAGCTACGAGAAGATATACACGAGTCTCACGTCGGCAAATGGAACGCACATAATAATTGTATTTTGATTAATTTTTATTGGTCAAAATGTAAGGATTGTAATTGCCTAGGCAAATAAAAATTGTTATTATTGGTAAACTAATGTCGTAGCCATGCGTAAATATAGGCAGGGTTGACGTAAAAATATATTCCATATTCCTTCTATACTCCATACACCACTCGTCGGCACATAAAATAGTAGTTTCATTTCTCCACCACTAAACCACTCGGAGTCTGTTAATAGTAGACCTCATATCGCCAATATTACAAGGTCATTGTTTTTAATTTACCACCGGTTTTGAAAAAATAAACCTCTCCCCTGGGAAGAACCAGAAAGAAACCCACCGGGATTCGTAAAAACAAAAAAAGTGATATTTTAAATATGAAAGGTTGTACTGACTATTTACAAAATTTACTTAAGAAAAGCTTGAAAGCGACCACCACATTCCTAGGGGTTATTATTAAACTTTGTATTCATTTATATTATAATAACCCTGTTTATACAGTTTTTCTTTAATAAATTATTAAAGTTGGTACTACACCTTGTACGCTTTCCGTGACTTTGTTGTAATAGCGTATACATTGCCACAAAAATGAAAAACTGACTCTGTGGAGACGAGAAACGGGTATTACTAGCTCGTATTTATTCCTAGTTACAAGAGTGAATATCAATTTTTTTACTAAAACTACTTTTGTTTTTGTGAAGATAAATTAAGTTTTCATAAATATTCTGAGACGACAAAGTTAATACATTTATTTATTTAAAATTTTCTCTAAAATACTCTTGGATTTAGGTTGTAAATAGATCCTATGCCCCTCTTATGCAAAACATAGTTTCTAAAACTACCGCATTTCCTTAGAGCAAAATCCCATGACATTACGCTATGGAAATAACTGAAATAAACTTATCTAGCTGTCTCGACGGTAGTGAGACATCTAATCTTTTTTAAACCTTAAGCTGCAGAGCTTAGTCTGCTTACTAGTTTTGATATATGGGGTGCTTTACTGAAGATATGCGTCGAGAGTGATGCCAAGAAAAACAGTGGATTCGACAAGGCTCAGTTCTTCTACATTTAAAACACATTGGTATTGAGATTTTTAACATTCATTGTTGATACTTTAATATTAGCATTATTTACTTCGTCATATTTAAGTGATTTACGTCTAAAATTGACTTTTAAAAATAAATGAAGTATCATCAGCAAATAATAATATATTATGATTATCCCCTACAAGGGAAAGTAATGCATTAATTTAGACTCCCGTCACACCTATGCGGCATGTGGGAGGCCTTTATTCAGTTGTTGACTTTTGATAGGCTGTAACAATAAAGGTGATGAAGTACACTGATGTTGAGTGTTTCACTGATGTTAAGTGTATGCCCTCGATTAAGAGTCAAAATACGGATGTATTCTGATTACGCCCAGAGATAGAAAGCTAACTAAGATGGCTAAGATAAAAGCTATCAGTAAAAATATTATTACATCACTATTTCATAACTGAACCATTCATGCTGCAGGCAATATAGAGTTAGATCGTGGCTCTACAGTCTACAACATACATTCTCTCACTATGCAAGAAAATATTTAACAACGATGGAAGTTAATCACTGTTTGAATAAACTCGTAAGAGTTTTAAGCACTATATAGTTAAAGTCCACTTGAGTTACACTGAAGAGAATGTGTCTAACCACGTTTTGTTATAGTATTTTCTCAATAATGTAATTATTATTTTAATTGTAATGATGTAATTAAACTAAGCAAGCACGTTATAGTCCTTTTCTTACAGTTGGTTTTAGTTCGAATTCTTGGAATATTGCCAAAGACTACACTGTACACAACAGTCAATTATTGAAACACATTACATTTATTTTATTATACAATTTTTTCATCTCGTAACCTGAGGCTACCAAATTACATCTGACAACTTATAACGTGGTAGAGTCACGTTGCAGTTATACTTTGATTGCAGCGTGAATGTGTCAGTTCGACCAGGGAAGGAACATGCTCCCACAGAATACCAGCGTAAAATAGCAGCTTATTTCTGTTTTGTTTCGTGTAGTGTGAGCAGAATACCAGAAATCTCTTTTACTAGCTACGAAACATTTTATTTTAGTTCTCATTGGTGAAAACGAATTTACATTTTTATTCTTAATCGATGATAACGGTAATTAGTCACATCCACTTACCATCAGGTAGACCCTGTCCTCGTTTGTCACCCTTATTCTATAAAAATAACTCTAACTTTCTTTTTAGAGAAAACTATACGAATGATAAAGGCAAACTTCACTCAGACTAACCCTGGTAAGTGCCGGTTTCTATAGATATTGAGCCGTTTCTTTTTTATTATTGAAGTATTTTGTAAAATATGGCACTCAAAGATTCACTCCAAAATTCATACTGGGAATTATAGTGAATTCTCCTATGTCAAATACTATAAATTATAAAATAATAAGATAATTAATTCTTTATCGTACCAAATTGTAGTAAGTCTAATGAAATTCCTTCCTGGGCCTTTGTGCCTTTTACTTAGGTTTGAGCTATAAAAATAGACTAAATAATAAGTTACTTTTAGATTATTAACTACAGAATATTGCAATAAATATTGAGAATACAGAAATTTTACAAAAACTAGTACCAAGCTGAGCAGTGATGAGTTATAGGTTATAATATACATACATGGTCCTTCAACAAATATTACATTTATTCAAACGGGAGCTCAGATGTATAGTTAAGATATAGATAGAATTTCACTTCAACAGGGTTTGCATGGGAAAAAATAAATG